AGTGCGGCGGTCATGGGGTGATAGGAAGGTTTGGGGGGGGGGGAGGAGATTCAAAACAGGCGCCACGTGCGTGAATTATTGTGAGCGTGCATGTGTGTATGGTGGCACGACTTGCGCGAACGTGCTTTCACAGCGATGTGCGGGACAAGGAATCCACATGCACGTGCAAGTACACAAATGCAAGTGCACACACACACACACACACACACCATACAACAACGCACCTGTGCAACTGGCCGAGGCTGTGGATAAATGCCATGCCATTGGCCACATCACGAAGGAGCTGCAGTTTCAAGTCCCACACCACCTGCTGACACGTCTTGCCACTGCCGCACACGGCATCCGCAGCACTCGTTCCACCTTGGCCGTGACTGTTGCTGTGTGCATGGGTTGTGGAGAGGAGTGGTGTCGTGTCACCACCATCATACTCGTGTTCGTTGTTGTTGTTGTTGTTGTTGTTGTTGTTGTTGTTGTTGTTGTTGTTGTTGTTGTTGTTGTTGTTGTTGTTGTTGTTGTTGTTGTTGTTGTTGTTGGCAGCACTGTTGTGGGTTTCGTGCCCACCAAAACCGCTGTTGTGCTGGTGGTGGTGTAGGAGCTGCGGTTGCTGCGAGACAAAGGCGCGGTGGGCATCGAGTACGTCGCACATGTTGCGTGCAAGCAACTGGCGCAGCGATCCCATCGCCACATACTCCAGCACCAGGAACGGGCTGCCGTTGGGGTCTGTGCCTGCGCCAAAGAACCGCACCACGTGCGGGTGCCGTGTGCGCTGCAGAAACTCCACCTCTTTCTCAAACTCCAGCACCGTTGTTGGGTCAAACAGCGTCACGTTCTCACGAAGGATTTTCACGGCAACCGTGAGCGTCTCCCAGCGCGCCTGCCACACCTCTCCAAACGCGCCCTCGGACCCGGCATCAATGCGGTGCAGCAGCGTCAACTCATCATAGCCAATCTCCCACGCCTTCTTCAGCGCAATCACCTCCTCCTCCTTCTCGCTCAGCAGCTGTCTGTTGAGCTCGTTCTCCACCTCCAGCCCTCTGCGGCGGCGGCGGTAGTGCCTGTAGACCAGGGCCATCGCAATTACGAGCAGGGCCGTGCATGCAAGCACGATGCCCGCAATGGCAGAGGAGGAAAGTCTGTCGGGTACGCACGCACCGTTGCGCTGCGTGAACTGCGACGAGCAGCGGCAGCGGAAGTCGTATGTCAGCTCCCGCGTGATGACGGTTGTGTCAACAACATCGCGCACCTCTGCGCTGCCCAGGTGCAGCGTGCAATCGACGGAGCCGTGGTTGATGAGCAGGATTGGGATGCGCTCGCTGCTCTGGAGCAGGTCTGCCAAGTCCTCTGTCCAGAACGACCGCGGGCTGACGACAACGGGCTGCGTTTCAACAAGTTCGATGCGCCGCAGCCACCCGTTCTCTGATAGATCAAGCAGGTTCAGCCTGGCGAGACACGTGGAGATGAGGGCGCCAATGTCCACGGCGCTGACGGCGGTGGAGCGGCGTACGCGTTGCGCAACGAGCACACGTGATCCCCACGCCGTGCACAGTGGCGGGCGAAGGGGGAGGCGTGTCTGGCTGATGTCCAGCACATCCACGGAGAGCACGTGCATACGCTCCAGCTTCACGCAGCCAGAGACGTTGAGGGAGGCGAGGCTGTGTGGAGCAGACAGCTCAAGCAGGTGGGCGTTGTCCTGCAGAGAGAGAGTGTGGAAGCGTTTTCCAGGGCACAGTTCCATGCGCGTGTACCCGGTGTTGAAGAGCCCAAGCTCGCCCACGTCCTCAGCCAGCAGCTTGCAGAGCACGATGAGGGGTGCCGTGACGTCTGTCATGCCAGGCCACCCGAGGCGAAGGCGGTGCAGTCGCAGGTTCTGCTGCGCGCTGAACTGCACAAACGCCGGGGGCAGCGCGACGTTTGTCAGGTCCACGTCACTCAGGTGGGGCGGGGCGGTGATGGGCGATGTACCAGTTGCTGCACCGTGGTTGTGGTTGTCAGCCGGGTGATCACGGCGCTGCCTGCCGTGGGCACTGGCAGCAGCAGCAGGAGCAGTGGCAGGAGCAGCAGCACGGATAACATTACCAGCACTAGCAGCACTAGCAGCACTAGCAGCACTAGCAGCACTAGCAGCACTAGCAGCACTAGCAGCACTAGCAGCACTGCTGTTTCGCTTACTTTCACTATGCTGCTGTGGGTCAAACACGACTCTGGAGAGCACGCGGCCGCGTGGGCCGACTGGCGCTGAAATTTCCACGCGCCGCAGGTCCCGCAGTGCCAAAATGGAGAGCACGTCGATGGTTGGGATGGCGTGATCGCGCATGCGCAGCGTCTGCAGGTTGGGTGCGGTCGTGACGTCAGGCAGAGTGGTAATGGGGTTGTGATTGACGTCAAGGAGGGTGAGGTTGGGAAGCACGGCGCCTTGCAGGGGAAGGTGGGTGAGTTGGTTGTCGCCAAGGTACGCGGCAAAGAGGTTTGGCTTGTTGTGAAAGAAGGTGGCGGGTAGGGCTGTGAGGCGGTTGAAGCTGAGCGTGAGCAGCCGCAAACGCGTCGTCGACGCAACCAGGTCATCTGGCACGGCTGTGAGGGCGTTGCGGCCCAGACCCAAGTTTTCGAGTGACGTCAGATCGCGCAGGATGCCACGTGGCAGTGACGTCAGCCGGTTGCGGTTCAGGTAGAGGCTGCGCAGCGTGGATAGGCCCCTGAACGTGTCCACGTGCAGCGTGCCAAACGGGTTGCCGCTCACGCTGATGTAGTGGAGGGCGGGCAGGGGGCGGAACAGCGCCGTGGGCAGCGAAGTCAGGCGCGTGTCGAAGAAGGTGACGCGTTTCAGGATTCGGCACGCATCAAGAAGGTGCGGTGGCACGGCGACGAGCGGGTTGCGGTCAAAGCCGAGGATGCGCAGGCTGGTGGCGGCGGTGAGCAGCCCTGCCGGGAGGGAAGTGAGGTCGTTGTCTTCGAGGTAGAGGCGCGTGAGGTTGCGCTGCGTGGCGAAGATGGTCGGGTGCAGGCTGGTGATGTGGTTGCGGTTGAGCTCGAGCAGGGAGAGCCCCGTGAGGGCGTGGAATGCCGTTGCGTCGATGGCTGCAATCTGGTTGGAGCGGAGGCCAAGCCCTTGCAGCTGCGGTGTGTCTGCAAACGCGTGTGCAGGGACGGCGGTGATGAAGTTGTCGGTGAGGTTGAGCACGCGCAGCTGCCGCATGCCCTGCAACATGCCTGGCGGGAAGGCGACCAGGCTGTTGTTGCGTGCATCCAACACCTCCAGCTTGGACAGCGGGTGTGCGCCGGCCTGGATGGTGAAGAGCTGGTTGTTGCTGAGGACGAGGGTGTTGAGGTTGGCGGCGGAGGCGAGGATGGCCGGGTTGAAGGTGATGGCTACGAGGCCCTGGATTGTGAGGGTGGTGACGCTGGACCAGTCGGCGCTGTCCATCACCCATCTGAGATCGTCCGCGTAGACGGTGCCGCGGAAGAGGAGCCAGGCTGGCTCGTATGCGGCCACGATGCCCTGCAGCGCAGCCGCGGCGGTGCTGGTGGGTGGCCGGCTGATGACTGCGGGCTCTGGGTTGCGGAGATTGAACACGACGATCATGGGTCGGCTGCGGCGGGCCGGTTCCTCCACTTCGCATCGGCCCAGCAGCAACAGGAAGATGGAGCACCTGAACGGCGGAAGCGACGATGGCGGTGTTGTTGTTGTTGTTGTTGTTGTTGTTGTTGTTGTTGTTGTTGTTGTTGTTGTTGTTGTTGTTGTTGTTGTTGTTGTTGTTGTTGTTGTTGTTGTTGTTGTTGTTGTTGTTGTTGTTGTTGTTGTTGTTGTTGTGTCAGCTCTGCGAAGGCGATTGACGACGGGGTGAGGTGTGCCGCAGAAGTGGTCCACAGCCAGTGTGAGTGCGCTGATGTTCAGGTGCATGGCAGGGTTGTGGGCAGAACTCTGAGTACTGGGCTGCTGCATGCGCATGACGCTCTGAAGCTGATGGCGTGCGGCAGCACATGCGTCATCATGCTGTTGGTGCTGTTGGTGCTGTTGCTGCTGTTGCGTCACCGACTCTGCTGCTCCTGCCACCAGCACACAGCAACAGCACACAAGAACGACCGCGCCCAAACGGGCTCGCAGCATCTGTGCGCGCGTGTGTCGGTGTGTGTCGGTGTGTGTCGGTGTGTGTTGTGTGTTGTGAGTGGGCAGTGTCTGTGCTTGGAAGCGAAAGTCTGTCTGTGTGCATGTGTCTGAGTGCGAGCATGCACGCGTGCGCACCAGTCCACAAGCAAGTGCGCGCTGATTGATTGATTGTCGTTGCTGGAGCTGTGTGAAGTACGGAAAAGCATATGACATCATTCGCCAATTATCAATCGCACTGAGTTGGCTTGTTGTTCTCGTTGTTGTGCGCCACCACCACCACTCTCTCTCTCGCTTCGTGTTCTTTGTTTTGCTTGACCACACACACACACGCACGCACACATCCCACCTCAGTACCTCGGCCGCTGTTGTTGTCTTGTCCTCCCCTCCACCCTCGGGCTTCTTTGCTTCTTCTACGCTCCTTCGTTGCGTGGCCGCCTTGACTTACTGACCATGGAAACTGAAACCAGCTTCTTCGACCTCTACGACGTCGACCTCAAGGACAAGCGCTCCGTGATTGGAAAGTGCGTGCGATCGGTTTTGTTTTCGGGGTTGTGTCGCAATGGAACGTCACAACAAGAAAACAACAGTAGAAATGGGGGTGTGGTTGGAGCTGTGGGGTGGGATGCTCTCGGTGTTAGAGGCACGCTGGCGGTGTGGTGTAGGTGTCTTACTGAGTGTGTCACCGAGATGAACCCGTTTCTCACACGTGGAATCGGCCTGTTGTTGCTGTTCTTGTCGTCATCGTTGTCATTGTTGTGCTGTTGTCGTCGTCGTGTGGGTGTGCTGATGTCTTCGTGTGTTGTTACGCGTGTGCCTTTGCGCGTCTCGGTTGATGTTTTGTGTGTGGTCGCCGCCCATCAAACAGGGGAGCGTTCAGCACGGTGCACCGCTGTGTCAACAAGCGGACTGGCGAAGTGTGCGCCGTCAAGGTGATTGCCCTCAAGAGCCTCAGATCTTCAGGTGCGTGAGGTTGTGCAGTACTTTGTGTGTGTGTGTGTGTCTGTCTGTGTTGTGTCTGTATTGTATGTGTTTGTACTGTGTGTTTGTTTGTCTGTGTACTTGGCTGTCTGTGTACTTGTTTGTACTTGTGTGCGTGTGTCATGTGTGTGTGTGTGTGCGCCTTGTGCGTTGGATACTTTTTTCCAAGTGTGTGCTCTGTGTGGCACTCGCCATATGCGATCGTTTCTTCGATCTTCCCTTTTGCTGCTCACGCATCAATAATGATCATGCGCCCGCCCTGCAGAAATCAACAAGATTAAGCGGGAAATCGGCATCTGCTCCAGTTTGCAACACGAACACATTGGTGAGAATGCTCGTCCAACGTGAACCAAGTCAATGTTGTTCTGACGCTTGTATGGGGTTAACATCACATCACGCTGTTTCCTTTGTGCGTTTACTGTTGCTTGGTTGCTGCTTTCACTGCTGCGAGCGACGTGTTGTCTCTGCATATTGCACACTCTGCATATTGCACACAACTCTCACTAGTGCTGTGAGAGAGACCTTCCGAGCTCACTGCCACGTCACCTCCCGCCTCGTTCCCCTCACTACGCACTGCCTCTGGTGGCGGTGTTGTTGCTGCTGCTGCTGCTGTTGTGTTGCAGTGTCTATGCGGCGTGCCTTCCGCGACGAGTCGCACTTCTACCTCGTGTTTGAGTACGTCTCTGGCGGCGAGCTGTTTGACGAGATTGTCACGCGCAAGTTCTACAATGAGAAGGACGCCAGTGCCTGCATGCACCAGATTCTCTCCGCCCTCCAACACTGCCACTCCAAGAACATCATCCATCGCGACCTCAAGGTCTGTTGTGTTGCGTGTGTGCGTTGTGTTGTGTTGTGTTGTGTGTATGCATGCGTTGTGTTGTGTTTTGGTATGCGTCTATGTGTGTTGTGTTGCGTGTGTGCATGCGTTGTGTTGTGTTGCGTGTGTGCGTGCGTTGTGTTGTGTTGTGTTGTGTTGTGTGCGTGCGTTGTGTTGTGTTGTGTGTATGCATGCGTTGTGTTGTGTTTTGGTATGCGTCTATGTGTGTTGTGTTGCGTGTGTGCATGCGTTGTGTTGTGTTGCGTGTGTGCGTGCGTTGTGTTGTGTTGTGTTGTGTTGTGTGCGTGCGTTGTGTTGTGTTGCGTGTGTGCGTTGTGTTGTGTTGTGTTGCGTGTGTGCGTTGTGTTGTGTTGTGTTGCGTGTGTGCGTTGTGTTGTGTTGTGTTGTGTGTATGCATGCGTTGTGTTGTGTTGTGTTGTGTGTATGCATGCGTTGTGTTGCGTGTGTGCGTGCGTTGTGTTGTGTTGTGTTGTGTGTATGCATGCGTTGTGTTGTGTTGCGTGTGTGCGTGCGTTGTGTTGTGTTGTGTTGCGTGTGTGCGTGCGTTGTGTTGTGTTGCGTGTGTGCGTGCGTTGCGTTGTGTTGTGTTGCGTGTGTGCGTGCGTTGCGTTGTGTTGTGTTGCGTGTGTGCATGCGTGTGTTGTGTTGTGTGTATGCATGCGTGTGTTGTGTTGTGTGTATGCATGCGTGTGTTGTGTTTTGGTATGCGTCGATGTGTGTGTGTATGTGCGTACGCATGCGCATTTTCCCTTGTCTCATCCATTTCCCTCACCTCCTTTCCCAACTCCTAGCCGGAAAACCTGTTGCTTGCAAGCAAAGATCCAAATGCGCCCGTCAAGATCACCGACTTTGGCCTTGCCGTCATCATGGAGCAAGGCCCAACATACTTTGGTTCGTCCACGATGCTGTGCACAAGTCTGTGTTTGTGTGTGTTTGTTTGTTTGTTTGTTTGTTTGTGTGTGTGTGTGTGTGTGTGTTTGTGTGCATGTGCAGATGCAGGCGCATGCAAGTGTGTATGTGAACAACAGTCGGGGAAGACACACGCTGTCCTCCTTGTCTTTGTTCGCGCACAAATACACATGCACACATGCACGCACGTATTCTTCCTCAACTCACCCTTCACCACCCCCCCCCCTACTCTCACAACTCCTCTCCCCCACAACACATCAGGGTTTGCCGGGACCCCCGGGTATCTGAGTCCCGAGGTGATTCGTCGCGTTCCGTACGACACGGCGGTGGACGTATGGGCCTGTGGCGTCATCCTGTACATTCTTCTGGTTGGCTACCCGCCGTTTTGGGAGGAGGACCACCAGAAACTCTATGCGCAGATCAAGAACTGCCAGTACGACTTTCCTTCGCCGGAGTGGGACTCCGTCACCACTGCAGCCAAGGTGCAGATCGTGGTCGTGGTGATAGTGATGATGATGATGATGATGATGATGATGATGATGATGATGATGATGATGATGATGATGATGATGATGTGTGTATGTGTGTGTGTTTTTACATGTATATGTGTGCATGTGCATGTGTGCGTGATCACAGAGATGTTGAGTTTGAGGGACGAGTCGTAACACAGCAACAATGCAACCGCACACACACACACACACACACACACACACACACACACACACACACACACACACACACACACACACACACACACACACACACACACACACACATAACGCATACGCCACCGCCCCGCCCCCTTGCCGTTGGTCAGGAATTGATCAAAGCGATGCTTGAGCCAAATCCAAAGCGCCGCCCAACGGTGCAAGAGCTGCTCCAGCATCCCTGGATCGCGCGGCGCGACGTCCCCGGCAGCGTGCACCGTCAGGCCACGCTGGAGGAGCTGAAGAAGTTCAACGCCCGCCGCAAGCTCAAGGTAGCGGCCGTGGTGGTCATGGTGTTGTTGTTGTTGTTGTTGTTGTTGTTGTTGTTGTTGTTGTTGTTGTTGTTGTTGTTGTTGTTGTTGTTGTTTGTTGTTTGTTGTTGTTTGTGTTTTTGTTTTTGTGTTTTTGTGTGTGTCTGTGTGCCTGTGTGTGTCTGTGTGTGGTTGTTTGCTGTTTTGTGTGTGTGTGTGTGTGTGTGCGTGTGTGTTTGTTTGTTTTTGTTTGTTTGTTCGCCCTTGCTCCTTCGTTTGTTTGGTTGTATTTTTGTCCGTGATGCTGCTTTCGTCAGTCACGAGTCCTACTCACACTTCCTCACCACCATCACCACCATCACCGCCAGGGCGGGGTCAATGCTGTGATTGGGGTGAGCAAGATGATGCGGACAATGCAGGAGGCGACGCGTGCCCTCACGCTTTCCGCCAAGAGCAAACAGGCTGCCACCGTCGCCGAGAAACAGGACACCCTTGTCCCGGCAGGCCCAGCAAAGGGTGAGCAGTGGGCGAGTGTATGGCGGAGAGGGTGATTTAGTGTGCATGTGTGTGCGTGTTTTAGTGTGTGTGTGTGTGTTGAGTGTGTGGACATCACGTCTTGCTGTTGTTTAATCACCAAGTGCTCACCTGCATCACCACTCGCCACCATCATCACGATCATTAGCGGTGCTGGAGGTGAATGACGAGCTCCTCAAGGCCGTTGCTTCTGGCGACTGGGACGCATACACGTACGTACACTGCAAATTGGTGTTGTCGCATATCACGCTCATGCTTTCCGCAGTCTGCTCTCTCCTTGATTCTCACTGGTTCGCCCGCATGCCTCCACCGTGCACACACACACACACACACACACACACACACACATGTCATCACCACCCCTGCCTTGTCGCCGTCATCAGGACCATGGTTGATCCAAACGTGACATGCTTTGAGCCCGAGGCCGCCGGCGTCCTGGCAAAGGGCCTCGCTTTCCACAAGTTCTTCTTCGATAACCGTTAGTTGTTTGTGCTACGCTGTGCATATGCTTGTGTGTGTGTGTGTGTGTGTGTGTGTGTGTGGTGGTGGTGGTGGTGGTGGTGGTGTGTGTGTGTCGTAGGTAAGGTTTCGACCTTGTATGTAATGCCAGCTCATTAGCTTTTCATAGGCGAAGCAAGCCCTAGTTCTCGTCCGGGCGAATGAACCACACGCAGTTCATTGGATAGCGAGGAAGACAATACCCGAACCAAAGGACTGTCTCTTCCTTCTGCATGGTGACGACATGGGACTTGGGTTCGCAAGCACTTTTAGAGGTAACACAATGGTCACGAGCCGGCCCAGTAAGTAGAAAAATGTGATAGTGTCACGCTGTGTTAGTTTATTAGGTCGGCAGTATTCCAATATGTTCTGATCTTACTCTCGATCAGACTAGTACCAAGTTGGAGCATACTGTTCATAAATCGGCTACAGATCGTTAAGACCGCAACTAGATTGGAGGGGAGCCCAACATCGAATCAAAAGATCTCGCTATAGACTAGACCGTCGGGGGTGCTCGGTATGAGGTGAGTGTATCTATCTCTGTACATATTTGACACACGCGCGCGACGCACGCACACACACGCACACACACACACACACGCACACATACCCCCCCCCCCCCCACAACAACGCGCACACATAACCGTCAGGCTCGCCGAACGCGGACAAGATGAAGACGACTCTCCACGATCCGGCCGTACAAATGTTTGGCGACACCGCCATTGTCACCGCCCTCCGCGTTGTCCAGTTTGTCGCGTGAGTTGGCACGCTCACCACGATGATGACGACAGTGCTGCTGGTGGTGATGATAATCACGGAGGCAAGCACAGTGGACGAGAAAGCAAGTGGGGGGGGGGGAAGGGATAATTGGTTGCTCGCTCACATCCTCCATCTCAAGCGTCCCTTGGCTCATGCGTTCCTCCTTCACTCACTGATGCTCTCCAACACTGCTTTCAACGCCATTCCTGCCGTATTCACTGCGCGCAATCGCATGAACGTACTTCGACCCCTCGACAACGACGCCTATGGCAATGCACTTATCGCCGCAACCGCAACCGCAACCGAAACCATCACCATCATCACCACCACCACTATCATCATCATCATCATCATCATTATCATCACCACCACCACTATCATCATCATCATCATCATCATCATCATCATTATCATCTACAGTGACGATGGTCCAAAGACGACACGATACGAGGAGACACGCGTATGGGTGAAGGACGCGGCGTTCAAGTTTGGATGGAAGCTCGTGCACTTCCACCGCTCCGGTGCTCACGCCACGCCAAACTGACCTGACCAACGACAATCACCATGCACCGTGGCATCCAGCAACACCATCACATATGGCGACCAGTGTCTGCAGCAGCAATTGCAGTCGTGGCATGCTACATTGCTTCCGTCTCATGCAGAAACAGCAACTCTTCCACAACAACAGTGTGTGTGTTTGGAACGTTGTGATGGTTGCGGTGTTTGCCCACTCTTCGTCCCGTTATGGCACATTGCCGGTGTCGCAGCATTCACGCGCGTGCACTTGGTGTTGTCGTCCGTGGTCCTCTGTTCGCTTCTCTGGTGTGGGAGTTCTCATCTTCCATGTTGCAATTGTGTCTTTGTTCTGGTTGTGTTTTGGTCCTGGTACTGACCGCTTAGCTGTCCCCACCCCTCCAGTGCGTGCACGTGGTGCAACCTGTCTCTCGCTTTGACTGCTTTGACTGCGAGACACGTTTGCTTGCTCGTTGTGTGTTGGAATGGTTGCGCTCTTGGGTCGTTCTTCCTTCTCTCTTGCCTTCCTGTTACGCCGTTTGTCCTTTTCTCCCTGCTCTTTGTGCTGTTGGTGTGTGTGCGTGTATGTGTGCGTTGCCTTGCATGTGTGTTTTCCTCGCCACTTTTGTTCTCTTCTCACTCTCTCAAACCGAATAAACCAACCCACGCACACTTGTGACGTGACGTGATGTCACATGACCTTTGCGTTATCATCATTGATTGATGTGGCGTCTCTATGACATGATGGTATCATGTTACGTACGCAAGCGTATAAACATGGAGATGGCGCAAGCACTCAACATGAATGGGGGGCAAAGAACAACAAAAAGAGACAAGAGACCTATGCATGTCACCCACACACACGCACGCGGAGAAGTTGTCATCTACACGCTACACGGGGCTGGAGGATGTTATGAGCGCGGCATTGGCGGTCGAGCGTGCACGTCGATGCCTGTATATCACCTGCTGCTGTGGCTGCCGCGTTGGTAGATGACGACTCGCAGCCCCGTGGGCCACGTGGGCGTCTGCGCGTTCCGGTGTCGTGGTCGTTGTTGCGGTGGATGCAAAGAACACGCGGCGGTGGCTGCTTCGGCGTCGGGAAATGTGTGGGGACGACGGTGCAACAGACGGTGCCCTGGAGGTGGACAGCAGTGATGGCGACGACGATGTTGTCTGCGATGTTGGTGCTGCTGTGCTGCGGTTCAGCGAGCATGAGATACACGTGTGCGAGAGCTGCGATGAGAAGCAGCTGGAGCTTCTCTGCGGCTGCCGCCTGTTCTTATCAATGTGGGTGCTGTTGTCGGACCGCAACATGTGCAGGCTGGCGGCCTGTGAGCGCGTGCCGGCACGGCTGCCGCAAACAGGGAAACTGTGGCTGGCAGCTGCTGTGCGTGACGACGATGGCGGTGCTGGGGTGAATGCCATGATAATGGCGCTGTCAGAGTCGCTGTCTGTGGCGTCAGACACGAAGAGGGACGTGTTGGAAGTGCGGCGGTCACCGCACGCAGCAATGGACGCCTGCGAGCTGTCGTGGCTGCTTGGGGGCGAGCACAGGCTGGGAGAAGACCCCGTCGGCGACGCCAAGGGCGAATGGCAGGAGGAACACGTGAGCACTGGAGACGGCAGCGAGGAGGAGGAAGGTGAGGAGGAGGAGGATGGCGATTGTGGCGATTGCGGCGAGAGAGAGGCTGCGGACGTGCTGGACGTGTTGAGGGCGTGCTGTTGACGCGCCTCTGCGAGGAAGGCAGCACGCGGCTTGGCAGTGAAGAGGCGCTGCCGCTTGAGCGCAGATGGGGACGTTGGTCGCGGCATCAGCTCGGGTGGCGGATGTGCGGTGTGGTTGGAGGTGAGGTCGATGGACTCCGCGTTGCTGTCGTTGTTGCTGGCGTGAACGGCATCTTGGCGATCGTCAGCCGCTGCAGTTGGGTTGTTGAGCTTCTCCAACACAGCGCGCAGGTCGAGGATGACTGGCCTGGCCCGTGTCAGGGGAGGTGGCGGGGATGGCGAGGACATCGTGGAGGCGTTAGTGGCTGGCGACGGATCTGAGGGCTGTCGCTTTGGCTTAGGGCGGCGGGTGAGGAGAATGGCCACCGTACGCTAGATGCTGGGCTGGTTGTATGCGATGCTGTCGTTGTTGGGGTGGAGGGTTGTTCTTTTGCAGGCGTTGTTGTTTCAGTTGTTGTTGTTGTTTCAGTTGTTGTGGTGGAGAGGGTTGTTCTTTTGCAGGTGTTGGTGATGATGCTGCTGTTGGTTGACAGAAAATGAGCTCATGTCACCGGCCGTCTTGGGAGGTGCACAACAAACTTACTGCTTGGAAGGACATGTGGCATCATGGCGTGGTGCGCGTCGCTTGGAACCGGCGTGGGTTGCAGTGGCTGGAAGGACTTTTGCTCGAGCAGGCAAAACTCACACCAAAAACTGACGCCCACTCGCCGAAATTTATCGAAGCTGTACATAATCATCGTCAACATTTGGTGTCAAGCTTCTTGCTTGCTTGGTCTTGCTTGCTTGCAGGCAACCAAGCCAAACCAAGCCACACACACACAAGCCGCAAATAAACAAAGCAAGCCAGTGAGAAGCAACAAGAAGTAGGTCGGTGGTGGTGCCCTTGCTTCTTGCGGTGTTGCTATGCTTGGTGGTGTGGTGTCGGGTCAGAGATGGGCTGGAGAAGCAGTTGGTCTGATGTGTCATTGGACACATCGTCACCTTCGTTGTCCACAAACTCATGGGCAGCGCGTGCACCTATCAACAAAGGCACGCGCGCACGCGCATGTGGATGTGTGCGTGCGTGTGCGTGTGCGTGCGTTTGTGTATGCATGTGTGCGTGTGTGTGCGTGTGTGTGCGTGTGTGTGCGTGTGTACGTGTGTGTACGTGTGTGTACGTGTGTGTGTGTGCGCGCATGTGAACGAGCGTGCGAATGACAGCGCATTGCTTACACCACACATATTGCAGTGTCCAACACGTTGCGGCATCGATGCCATGAACACCACCCCGAAATGCCACCAGCACCAAAACACCAACCATGCCATCGTCAGCAGCCCGAATTGCGCATCATTGTTTACACAACACCGTTTGCACCAGCATGACCGCTGACAGTAGCAGTGCCGCACCCTTCTCAATGTCGACGAAGCAGAGGGCGATGCCAGGGAAGAGCAGCATCGCCGCAATGTAGAAGAACGCATTGCGGATGTTGCCTGTGCAAGAGCGAACGTGTGCGTGTGTGTCCAGGTGTAGGGAAGGGGTGAGGTGCGCTCGCGATGTTCCAGATGCAGAACACAAGACAAAGCGAAAGCGAAAGCGAAACATACACATACACACGCACACGCGCGCGCGCACACACACACACACACACGCATACGTACACACACAAACACGCGCACACACACACACACACAGACACACACACTGCAGCACACACACACACGACACACACACAGATAACTGATCCGGATCCTTATACGAAGAGGGTCGTGGGTCTAACCTGGGCTGGAAGAGGTAAGCTCACTTGTTGAAGTTAAGGGGTCGCTCGATTTCTAAGGTGCAGTTCTTTGGCCTAGGCAGCACGTCGGAGACGGACATATCGCGCCCAGCGTCACCCATCGTGACGCCGCCTAGGCTTCCAACGAGTCGGTACCAGACAGTCCTTTAGGGTTGACGTATCGGGTAGCAACGTGTGCTGTCATAGTCAGCAATGGGGAAGACATAACCTACAAACTTGTGATGTGAGAAGTCTTATTGCGGGTGGACCGCTGACGGCATGGGTCCTCCCGTTAGGGGTTCATTCACTGCGATATCGGGTAAGTACCGTCCACAAGCCGTTATGCGTTACGACAACCCTCGCCACCGGTACGCAAGGACTCTTTTTACCAGTCTTGCGCAGGGTTGCCGGAACATCTTGATAAATTTACAAAGGTCCCTTTTTCTGGACACACACACACACCACACACACACACACACACACACACACACACACCTGTTGACAGCTGGAGGACGGCGACGACGAGCGGGCCAATCCAGCTGCTGCCACGATCCGTGATCTCATAGAACGAAAAGAACTGTGTTGACACATACACGCAAACAAGAGAGTCAGTGGGCGTAGCGTTGGTGAGAGATGGAGATGGTGCTGTGGGAAACAGTGGGCCATGTTCTGTCGACACGGAGCTACGTACAAAGACCTATGAACAAAGGCCGAAGTACCAACCAAGCACACACACAGACACACACACACACACAGGCACACAGACACACAGACACACACACACACAGACAGACAGACAGACAGACAGACACACACACACACACACAGACACACAGACACACACACACAAAAACCCCCTCGCCCTACTCGGAGGTACAAAGTGGCACCTGGCTCTCAAGTCCCGTTGGAATGAGACGCGCGAAGGTGGAGCGTGCGTATGACTGGAACGAGCCAATGTTGAAACCAAAGATGACAGCAAGAATCCACATTTCCCATCCTGGCAATGGGTTGTGAGTCAGCGTACCCGTGGTACGCAAAGAGTTTACGACGTGAAGTGAGACGACGTGCTACGTGCCAGACGGGAAGGAGAGGGGTTGTAGGTGTAGGTGTAGGTGTAGGTGTAGGTGTGCATGTGTGTGTGTGCGCGCGTGTGTGTGCAAGAGGCAGACAGGGGCATATGTACAAAGGGACAAACACACAAAGACACACGCACACGCAAATACATACACACACGCACATACACATACACGCACACACCGCGTTGAAGCCCGAATTCACTGACGCCGAAACCGATGAATCCATAGAGAGGAAGGAGAAGCGTGAAGAATGCATGAAAGATGACCTGCTCACGCCATTTGTGTGTGTGCGCGTGGTGTGTGTGTGTGTGTGTTCGCGCGTTGTGTGTGCGTTGGCAGCATTTGGTATGTTTGCGGCAATAAGAGGTGTGAATGACCGGGAGTGGTGGGCATGGAAAGTGGGCAAGCGAGCATGATGGCACCACGCGAGGCAAAGAGTGTGATATGAAGGGGATGGGGGACTTGCACACAAGATGCACACACACACACACACACACACACACGCACACACACACACACACACAGTGTGCGCACCACGTTGCGGTGTGCCCAGTTGAATGTGTTGACGGCCCTGTTCATGATCCAGTTGCCAAAGCCAGCCATGATGGGGACGAGCAGCAGCGTAACAGCGATGCCCAGCGTCTTGTTGATGCAGCCCCAGTCCACCTCCGTATTGGCAAAGAGCGCACCGACAGACGACACGAGAAACATCCTGAGTGCAATTGCAGTGGGTGGGGGATGGGGAGTGAGCGTGTGAGCATGTGAGCGTGTCTCTGTCGACGAGCAGAGAAGTGATAGTAGTGAAGCATGAAAAAGAAGGACAAGAGACCGGAAAACACGTGACGATGCACTTACACCAAAAGCATCCCTACACACACACACACACACACACACACACACACACACACACACACACACACGCACACACACACACACACACACAAACATATGATGCCGTACCCATCTGAGAGGAAGAACCAGATGACGAGAAAGATGAATGTGGTGGGCAGTCGTCGCACTTTCCTCAGCGTGTCCCACGTGCGTCGAAGTGACAGTCCAATGTACGATTGCCCTGTACACCCATGTGCATGTGCATGTGCATGTGCATGTGCATGTGCATGTGCATGTGCATGTGCATGTGAGTGCCAATGGCGCTTCTTGCCACGAGCATTCAAACCCCTTGATCAGTTCTGGGGGCCCCCATGCATTGCCTTCCTTATTCACACGCGCACAAGTACACACTCAGACAGACACACATCGACACAGGCACACACACAACGACACACGCACACAGACACACACGCACACACAAACGAATGCGTAAGACCTGGTGGGAGCGGGGGACCGGGGCGGGACTTGAGGTGCTTGAAGGTGTAGAGAGAGAAGATGAACCACCACACTCCAGCAGCAGCCACGTTCACACGATAGGCGGCGCTGGACACAACGAGGAAGCTGAATGGGGAGAGGAAGGGATGGTGGTAGACGAAGGGACGGGTAATAGTTTGTGGTGTGTACACTGTAAGTCAAGACGAACAGCCACAGCCACACACACGCACACACATACATACACATACATACATGCACATACACATACACACACACGCGCGCGCACGCACACACGCACGCACGCACGCACGCGCACACACATACATACACACACACACACGCACACAAACACACGCACACGCATGTGTGACGGATGTAAACTCAGACCCCGCGGTGTACAGAATCCATTCGTTGTGCTGAGACCGCCGCACCTGACAGGGATGGTGAGGATGAGAAGAATCACACCACCGACGTACCCAGCTGGAGGAGAAGGAAGAAGCAGCGGACATCAGGGGTAGTGGGATAGAGTTAGACGTCGAGTGGATACGTTGTTGTCACACTTGTTCAAAACAACAGCCATGCGCAACGATGTAGTGGCACACGGTGCTTGTTGTGCTGCTCACACGCATCAAGTTCACACATGCAGACTGACTGACAGACAGATAGACAGGCACACACACACACACACACACACACACACACACACACACACACACACACACACACACACACACACACACACACACACGGGCACACACACACACACATACAAGAACCCGCGCACGAGCACAAGACAACCATGCATGGCCCCGTTCTTCCCCTCGCACTGACCAGCAAAGCCGTAAGCGCTGATTTCGCCGAGTTTCTTCAGTTTGAGGACCGTGCGGGCAACGGGGTCCGACTCAGCCACAACCCTGCCGGATTGCGTGTACGTGGACATGTACGTGTATGTGTGTGCGTGCACGTGTGCGTGTACGTGTGTGTGTGTGCATGCACATGTGTGCGTGTACGTGTGTGTACGTGTACGTGTGTGCGTGCATGTATGTGTGCGTATGTACGCGTGTGCGTGTGAAGAAAGAAACGTGCGGCCGTCCATATGCACATGCACATGAACATGAGACACAGCTCGACAAACACACACGCAACAAACGGTGACCGCACACGATCACAGGCGGTCGCAAATACACACACACACACACACACACACACAAGACTGAGGCTCACTCATAGTGGTTGTCTGCAAGAAGGGGCAGCCAAGCGTTGGCGAGCGCAATGCACAGGCCGTAAAGCACGTTTGATACAATTAGGAAGACGCCACCTGCAGTGCACGCACGTGATGTTAGCTTGTCATGAACATGGTTGTTCGCAGTTGCGTAAATCACAGGCAGATGCAAGGATACGCACTAGCGTCAAACAAACCGTTTTCACATGTAAACACACACACACACACACTCTCTCTCTCTCTCTCTCTTCATCTCTCCCTCTCTCTGCCTGTGCCTTGCTTTCTCTCTCTCAGATCACACAGCCTGAGCCAGGAATATCATTTGCTGCCCTGCCCTTCTCCACCAGTGGCGTTGGACGCGTACCGAGCCACCACACGTCTGACGTTGCCGTAATGCACAGAATGCATGAAGCTGCTCCCTGATGTGATGATGATGATGATGATGATGATGATGATGATGATGATGATGATGATGATGATGATGATGATGATGATGATGATGATGATGATGATGGTGATGATGATGATGATGATGATGGTGATGATTACAGTTGTTGTGGTTGTGGTGGTAAAGTGGTGATGATGGTAATGTTCACATTTGCACAGCAGCTTGACACATAAAACTCACAATACCGTTCTACAGACATACGTGCAAGGCACATTTCACGCACATGACACGAAAGGCACACACACATACACACATACATACAAGCATTAGCACGGCGACATTTGCACACATATGTGGCGGTTTCACTTGCCAGTGTCGACGTGAGCATGAGCAACTTCTTGCGCAGAGGACCGTAGTCACCCAGCGTCCCCAAACAGATGTATGCAATGGCTGATGCACAACAACCAATACAGGTGGCATGGATGGAGCAGTTATACAAAGATGCAAAGGAGCGCGCACACACGTACACATACAAATATACACACACATACACATACACATACACACACGTGTGCTCATTTGCATGCACACACATACGTATGCCAACGCACCCGCATCACATCTCACGCGCAGGATCACGTTCGCCTCACACACAAAAGCAGCCCCAGTGTCATCAGGCCACGCACTCTGAAAGATAACGGAGAAGCTGATAAAGAGGGAGGCGTAGGAGGTGGGGTCAAGATGGCTGCCGAGAAAGTTGACGCGAAGATTGAACTCCGTGCGCCCGTCCGCCTGGGTGGCAGCAGCAGTTGTGGTGGTGGCAATGATGATGGTGATGGTGGTGGGCGGGGGTGGGGAGTAACAGACAGGAGCATGAGAAGTGTGCTTGTGCCGGCCACCAGCACGGGTGTCCATCGTTCACGGGAAATGCCATACACACAATCAAATCGACGCACATCCACACACGAGCAACAATGATCGAAGCAGAAAGCCACGCGTGTTGTTGCTTTACCAGAAGGCATGACTCCGGCCGATCTGGTTTTCCTTCGCAGAGCCCATTCACGCACGTGTCGGCGCAGCTGGAGATGCCTGTGCAAACATACATGTGTGCATTTGTACATGCGCGCACGTGTGTGTATGTGTGTGTGTGAGGGTGTGAAGCGTGTGTGTGTGTGTGTGAAGCGTGTGTGTGTGTGTGTGTGTGTGTGTATAGCGTGTGAGGGTGTCATCAGGCTGCAATTGTCCCTGGGTGAAGGATCTTTGCACCACCAGGGCTGGGTGCTTGTGTTCTGTTGCGTCATGCACGGAGCATCTGTTGTTGTACAAGCAAACATGTCGCACGCACACGCACGCACACGCACGCACACACGCACACAGAGGGACACTGTGCATGCAGAAACAACAACGACAGCACACACAAAGACATTCATTCACACACAGAGATATCGTACAAGCAGAAACAACGACAACAGCAGCATCCACAAAGACGCTCATTCACGCACACACCACACACACACACACACACATACACACAAAGCAACAAAAAGAGACGGCTCACCCTTTCGAACAAAGTCCAGGTATGCAAACTGGGATGTGCTGTTTGGAAACGCCTGCAGAATCTGTGCGTACAATGCAGCCAGTTCGGAAAGGGCAGTGGAACCACCAACTGATGTGAACACGTGATCATCACATCAAGCAACAAGCAAGGCAAGCAAGCTATCACAAATTTGCAAGCAAACGGATGAAATGCAAAATCAGACAGGAACGGACTCCAGTGTCAAGCTCGGCACTCCTGCGGGATTCATTTGCACGTTTGCTCCCCATCTCAGGCAAACACACTCACACGCACACACGCAGACACACACACACACACACACAAAGGGAGTTTCATGCACGTATACACGCTCAAGTGCACTTCGCTGCGCACCATTGTGGTGTTGGTGATGAGGTTTGGGCACATGTCAGGGAAGCCTGCGTGCTCAAGCGCCAAGGCTTGAAGCAGCAGCGGCAGGTACCCGCCCACAACAACGGTGGCGTATGCGCTGTTGGCCCAATCAAATGCGTACCACGCCCTCAGCTCTTTGCGATCAGCAACGGGATCTGTGCTGTCCCCGCCTCTGTTGCTCTCATCCACATCGTCAGTGTCCACAGCGGCTGCTTCCACCACCTCGCCATCACCATCACCACCAGCATCATCACCGCCAGCGATCATCAAGGCACTCCTCTTGCCGTTTGCTGGCATGATGTTTGTTGTTGTGTTTGCGGTTTGTTTGAGTGAAGACTGAAGTCAGTCGATGATTCGATTGGTGGAAGATTTCAAGCAATCTTCTTCCGCCAAACTTTTGAATCGACAGACGCTGCAAAGACTGCACACAACAACAAGCACACGAAAGACACGATGGCGACCAGCACGACCACCATTGCTAGCAGTGCGCGTGGATCGCCCGCGCCAGTGAGTAGCTTGGGGCTTGCTTGCATTCTCACTCTTGTCGATCAGTCTCTCTTGTCGATCAGTCTCTCTTGTCGATCAGTCTCTCTTGTCGATCAGTCTCTCTTGTCGATCAGTCTCTCTTGTCGACTTGGTCAACACAAGCTGCGCTTGCTTTTGTGCATGCAACCCTGTTCATTTCTTTCCCCGCACCTCTTCCATCCACGAACGCCTGCCTGTATCCGCGCGCGCGCACACACACACACACACATACACGTGTACACACACACACACACACACACACACACACACACACACACACACACAGCTCATCCCAGCTCACGGCATCACGTGTTTCGTGGCCTGCATTCATAACTAGTCGCTGCAGCAGGGCGAACAGGAACAGGGCCAGGACATGCCAAGAACGCTCAGCAGAGCCGAGGTGGGTTCTTGTTCGGCCATCATGCGTGTATGTATGTATGTATGTATGTATGTATGTATGTATGTATGTATGTATGTATGTATGTATGCATGTGTGTATGTATGTATGCACGTACGTGCGTGTGTATGCGCATTTGCGCGTGTACTCTTGTCAACACGAGCGATGTAATACAACCATCTCTCGGCTCACACTTGCTTGTTCTTGTGCCGCCTCCACGTAGACGGACGTCTTGCGGCGCTGCTTAGCCTTCTTGGGCTTCCGCCTCCTGATCATTGAGGCAACAAGGAATGCGTTGACCAGGGATGAGAAGAGAGCTTTGGCCAGCAAAGAGAGCGCTGTCTCGCTGGAAGATGTCATTCGCGATGCATCGGGTTGGTGCCTTGTGTCTTGCGCCCCCCTACATGTCATTGACAAGCACATCTTGCCGTGTATACGTGTTGCCATGTCTTGTGCCGTGCTACATGTCAACGTATGGCAGGTGCGCAGTGTTCATGCATTGTTGTGCAGTCCTTGTCTGTTTCAGCGCCCGCTCACGCTGTCCCGCACACGAACGCGCCACAAACCAGAATCGGACGAGGCCTTTGCTGCCCGCTACCCTGAGGGCGTCAATTTCAAGTGGGTGGACCTCCAGCAGCAGTTTAAGCGCATTCCGTATCGCGTTCATGAGGTCGCTGAAATGCTCCCGGATGATCTGAAACGGAAGCTTGAGGCAGCCATCAGCAGCTTTGATGAAGCGACTGTTGAGGCCGCGTTGAGGAGGGTTGGTGCCATGTGTGCAGCCCCAACGATTGACAGCAACCTCAAGCAGCAGCGCGCAGGTACGATGGCCGCAGCAACACGACACACATGCATGCACATTCTTGCACAAGTTGGAGCACAGACACGCGAGTGCTTGCTGACGTGTGTACCTGCGTTGCACACACACATTGGCACACATTCAGACACACCCTGACCCTTACAAACATACACACACCCTTACCCTTACCCTTACATACATACACGCACATACACACCCTTACCCTTGCATACATTCGTACACATACATACACCCTTACATTCACGTACACACGCACACGTGCAGACCTGTGGCGGCCGCTTGCGCCAAGCGAAGTGGGAAAGATTGCCAGAAGCTTGGCGACACCGCGCAGCCAGGCTTCGACCTCATCGGCCCGGTCTTGGAGCCGCAAGTCAGCAACCATGGCTGAGAAGAGGACGATTGTCATGAACGACCGGATGTTTGGCGAAGTGGATGCACGCGTGTTCCGTGCCACGAAGAGGATCAAGGACGAGTTGACCGCCAGCGTCGCCTCCTGCACCAAAAGTGCGTTTGCTACTCTGTGCTTGTACTGCACCACACAAGGTGGTTGTGTTTGTGTTGGCTCACGTGCGTGTGTATCAATGTGCACTACGAAGGTGTGTGTGTGTGTGTATGTGTGTGTGTGTGTGTGTGTGTGTGTATGTGTGTGTGTGTGTGTGTGTGTGTGTGTGTGTGTGTGTGTGTGTGTGTGTGTGTGTGTGTGTGTGTGTGTGTGTGTGTGGAGGGGGAAGGGCTTTCTTGTGCCACTTTCTTGAATTCCGAAGCTTATCGTATTATTCACTGTCATTTGATCAGCATTGCCCAAGCTGAATTTGAAGTACGAAAGCCTCTTCCTGATGGAATTCAGCCACTACCTGCAGCGCTACTGCGGTCAGCGCGAGTGGACACGCACTCTGCACTTCTTCACGCAGGCGCCATTCAAAGACAATCCGGCTTATGCCGTGGACCTGTGCGTGACCAATGGCAGCGGAGACCCTTATGTCTTCAACCTCATCTTCGAGGTAAAAACACTCTCGCACACACACGCACACCCACGCACACACACATGCGTGCACATACATGCACACCCGCTCTCATTACACACGCACACGCATGCTCCGCGCACTCACACGACGTGTCATGCTTCCTTCGCAGCACTCACTCACTCACACACATTCTGTCACGATTCATGTTGTTCTCGATGCAGTTCAAGAGCAGTGGCCTCCCGCTTGACGAAGTGGAGGCCATGGCGCAGCTGGACGAATACGCGTCACATGCCACGAAGGCGCTCCCACGCCGCGCTGTTGGGCTGCCCTTCCCCTTTGGCATCACTGTCACTGGCGACACCGTCAATGTCTTCGCATATGTCTTGACCCGCGACCACCAGGATCTGGAAAAGGTAACAGCGTTGTGTGCTGTGTTCCTTCGTGTGCGTGTGTGCACGTGCGTGTGTGTGTGCATGTGCTTGCGTGCATCTGAATGCATGAATGTGTGTGTGTGCGTGTCAATGCTTGATTTGAATGCGTTTCCTGCGTGTCAGCTTTCTTCACTTCTCACCCTGTTGTGCGCTGTTTGTGTACGACACACGATGTGCGCGCGTGTGTGCGCGTGTGTAAATGCCTTCAGATTTATCGCATCCCGCTTCTCAAAGACGCGGAGGTGTGAACACATGCATGCGTTTACGTTTGTTTGCGTGTGTGCATGCGTGTGTCCATCACGTATTTCTGAGCAACGACATGACTCTTTCATCCCCTGCTTGCCACGTGCTCCTGCGTCTTGCTGCGTTCTCTCTCTGTCTCTCTCTCTGTCTGTCTGTCTGTCTGTCTGTCTGTCTCTCTCTCTCTCTTTTTATCTCGCACGTGTGTGTGTGCCTATGGCTTGGTCTTGCTTTTGGTTGTGTCTCCCCTTGACTCATGCATGTGCGTGCCACATGCTGCTGCGCTGCCACGGGTTGCACTGCCAGATTGAGATCATGCCGGCCATCCTCGACGTCCTGCTGAGCAAGGAGCGCATCGCCTATTTCCAGGCCCTGTCCCGCCACATGGACGGCAAGAGCTCCGACAACGCCAGCGACACCAGCGACGCCGGCGACGCCACGCATCAGCTGGCACTGCTGCACCTGGGCGATGGCGATGGCGATGGCGCTGGTGATGGCGATGGCGATGGCGACACCAGCGACGCCGGCGACGCCACGCATCAGCTGGCACTGCTGCACCTGGGCGATGGCGATGGCGATGGCGCTGGTGATGGCGATGGCGATGGCGATGGCGGTAGTGGTGGCGCGGACGCGTATGCGTGCCCACCGCTGTACGGCGTTGCGAGGAAGGACTGGCCGTGCGAGGAGAGCGCTCTAGCCGAGCACCGTCTGTTCGTCACCAGATTCTACGCGCCGCAGCCCAACGTGCGCATCTTCAACAGCCGCGTGCTCAAGGAGGTGCCAGAACGCGACGCAGACAACATCCTGAACGCCTGGGAGATTGCCCATCCGAGCCTCAACGTCGTGCGCGTCGGCCCCATGCCCCAGGGCCAGTGCGTGCTCGATGCCCCTTACCTTGGCAAGACGTGGGTGGACCAGCGGCCAACGCGGATTGAGCAGATTGACGAGCCTGTGGAACAGCTGCTGCGCCTGCTGCGCAAAGGGCTGTGCCACACGGACACGCGGTGTGAGAACCTGACGATTGGTCCGGGTGGGCGTTGCAGCTTCATCGACTTCGACATGACCCAGGACCTGGGCACGGATCTGCCCTCCGACCTCGTCACGGACTACCTGGAGAGGCCAGCGCGCGTGTTTGTTCATGGGTCCTTCGGAAAGAGGGAGGAGGGTGATGATTTCGAGTCCCTGATGTTCTCATGGGCACGAGCACGCTTCACGGGCGCAAGCATGTTTAGTGGCCGAGAGTTTGCTCAGCAGGTTTTCTGTGCGCGGGAGCGTGTTGTTGAGCTGCTGACGAAGGAGCGGGGCCGGCTGTTGGCGGAGGGGGCCGACGACGCGATTGTGCACCGTGTCGACGCCGCCATCCACAGGTGCGAGAGGGCCACCCTGTTTGCCTGATGGTTGCACTGAGCGATGATGTTTGATGGTGATCGATGGCGGTAGTGGTGATGGTGGTGACTGATGATGTGATTTATTGATGGTGGTGGTGGCATTGTTTTGTGGTGAATGATGCTTTTTCATTGTGGTGGTGGTGGTGATTTGATGGTGATGTGATTCATTCATGGTGGTGGTGATTTGATGGTGATGTGATTCATTCATGGTGGTGGTAATTTGATGGTGATGTGATTCATTCATGGTTGTTGCTCGAGATGGAGATCCAAGAACCGATTGCTATTCGTATTCAACGCTGTCTATGCTTCAATAAACGTCAACCAGCAGCCCACATGCACAGACACATGAACACGAGCTTGTCACCAACAATAAGGTACAAGGGGACAGACAGCGTGCGACAAACAGCGAGTAACCCATCCAACCACGCGTGCATGCACCGCAACACTATGACCAGCCGCCTTGCACGCGCGGCTTGCGATTGTGACAACCTCTGAGCTTCCCTGAGCGGCTGCGTTCGATGCAAGATGTGTGATCAATACTTTGTTGGGTTGGGCACGGAGATTTGTGTCTGCTCTGTGTCCGTCTGTCTGCTCGTCCACAAAACACGGCCTGGACGTAGCCTTTGTAACTGAGATGCTCTCACCGCTTCGATTACTTGCTTGCACATGAAACTTCTCGCGTTTTTTGACGTGTAACAGTGGCGATGATGTACAACATGCGCAACCACACGCACATGTACACCTTCACAGAGTACACACAGAGTACACACAGAGTACAGAGAACAAAGGATACACATGTCACACACAACCCATCATGGGTCAAGAGTTCTCTGTGCGGAAGGTGCGAAGGACACGACATGCCTCGAGCGTGCAGTGCCACAGCCGCGACAAGATCTGGCCCAGGGCGTCAAGATGAATAAAGTCAGGAACATGACCCGTGGCCATTGGAGCATACATCCCACCACCACCAGCCCGACCATGTGAGGATTGAGATGGCCCTGAGCGGTGACCGACAATCGGAGGGCGGCGAAGGTGCTCGCTCAATGCATGCAGCTGCGAATCCGTCAACCGAAGCACCTGTGTACATGTGCGCGTATGTGTGCGTGTACGTGTATGTGTATGTGTATGTGTGTATGTATGTGTATGTGTATGTGTATGTGTATATGTATGTGTATGTGTATGTGTATGTGTATGCATGTGCGTTGGGAGATGGGTCATGAAACGTGAGAGACCCCATGTGAGCTGCCATCAGGTCAACCAATGGCAAGCATGTGCGAACAATGGCAAGCATGTGCGAATAAAACGTGTTGCGTATGAACAAACAGAGAGTGTGAGTGTGTTAGAGAGCAAGAGTGTGTGTGCGTGTGCGTGTGCGTGTGTGTGCGTGTGCGTGTGTGTGCGATGAGATGGGAGTGAACGCACGCTGGCAGTGGCAACATTGCAGTGGTCAAGTGCCAGCTTGAGAGGGGTGTGGCCGGCGTTGTTCTGGGTGGACGGATTGATTCCACTGAGCCGAAGAAAGGCGGCGACGAACATCTGTCCATTCTCCGCGGCCGTGTGCAGGGCAGTATTGCCAGCGATCGTTCGCGCACGCACATCGCACATCTTGCGGGACACGAGCACCTGAATGCGCGTGTGAAAGAAGAGTGAGAAGAGATGAGAAAGAGGGGGAGGTAGGCGTGAGAGTAGTTTCGCTGAACGACGTGTCACGTGTGTAATGACTGCGACAGTACATGAAGCGACCAAAACACCTCAGCACGAATGCACACACAGACACACACGCACACGCACACATACAAACACACTGCGCCACATCGCCATGCATACGAGAACAAGACGTGCGTACGTACAATAGCGCTTGAGATTGAGTCCTTACAGCAGGCCAGATGCAAGGCATCACGCCCATCAGCAATACGCATGCGTGCTACATCTCTAGCTGTCGTGTCGCCCTGCCTCTGAAGAGCAGCGAGGAGCTCGTCAACAACAAGAAAGCGCCCGTGACGAGCAGCAAGGTGCAATGCTGTGTTGCCATCCGCATCCCGCTGCTCAATCTGGCGGGGATGTGCAGGTGTGTGTGTATGTGTGTGTGTGCGTGTGTGTGCGCATGTGTGTGTGTGCGTGTGTATGAGCGTGTGTGCGTGTGTGCGTGTGTGCGTGTGCGTGTGTGTGTGTGTGCACGTGAGCGTTCAAGGCTGACATGCCACAAAGTGATCCACACGCACATTCACGAACATATTCACGGCCATCCTCACACACACACACACATCCACACTTGCATGCATGGCGTGTGCACATGGCCCCATGCCTACCATTGCGCCTGAGGCGAGAAGCTTGCACGTGAGAGCAAGATCGCCTTTCTTCGCTGCAATTTGCAAACTACCGCCCTCACGTGCACGGGAGAGCAGCCCCCTTGTCTCTGATTCCTCGGTCACGCCTCGCTTCAGCAGCAGCAGCTGCACGTCTAGACAATGGTTAGGGCAACACAGAGTTGCAGCAGGGAAAGGGACGACGGGTGGGGTTGGTGGTGGGTGGCGGTGGCGAGACGTGTTGACACCACGCCAGCATGCACGGCTTACAGCAGGGATGCGAACAGTGCGCGGGACATGCACGCAAATCAACAATCCACACGCCACAACTCACGTACACCCACCACATAAAACGCACGCAGCATCCATACACACACGCACACACGCACACATACAAACATCACCCACACAATGAGCAGGCATCCGGTCCACAGAAAAGGTGCACACCTGCGTTGTTGTGTTCTCTGGCAATGTCGAGTGCTGTCTTCTTGTCAGCGTTGTGGCGAGTGAGATCAGCACCACACGACATCAAAATTTGCACGCACAGCACGTGCCCGCGCTTGGCGGCGATGTGCAGTGGGGTGGAGCCGTCGAGCGCCGTCAGGTCGATGCTGGCCGGGTCCTCATGCAACAGGATGACAAGCGTCTCTGGATCACCACGCCATGCTGCCTGGTGTATCGCCATGCGTCCAAGCTTGTTGTAGATGCGTGTGCTTGCTCCACGGCGGACAAGAATGTGCACGGTCCAGGGCTGGTTGTGGTCGATGGCGAGGAACAGGGCGGTGTGGCCGTGTGCATTGATGTCGTTGGGGTTGGCGTGCCCCTTGAGTAGCCGAATGACCTGTGCACCAGCGCCAATGGCCGCTGCCCGGAACAGCGAGCACCCAGACTTGTCCCGCTGTCATCGTCGTGGTGATGATGATGATGGTGGTGGTGGTGAGGCATACACACATAACCATAAAACAACAAAAAAGGACAAATGCACATAAATGTAAACACACGCACACACGCACAAACACGAGCACCATGCGCACGCCAATACACGCACGCACGGTCACCTCACCTCCTCAAAGTTGATGAGCGTACTAATGGCCGCCTGTGAGCCCTGCACGTCGGCCAGCGCGCGGGGTGTGAGCCCACGCTTGTTTGTCACGTGCAAGCGAGCACCGGCCTCATAGAGAAGCGTGGCCACCGCAATCTGGCCAGCCATCGCCGCGACGTGCAGAGGGGTGTTGCCGTGCTGGTCGGTAACGTGGACCAGGGTGGATCTGTACTGCAGCAGCATGAGCACGGCACCCATGTTTCCCGTGCGACACGCCTCATGCATGCACGTGGTGGCGGGCGGGTCCGTGTCGTCAGAGAGCATGGCCCCTGCCATGCTGCATGCAATGTCCTGCAGCAGCATGAGCGCATTTGGCCCTGACAACGCCTCCTTTCCCACCACGTGGTGGAGAATTCGTCCACCGTTCAAGGTGACTGGACGGACGAGGGGGCGTGGCGGCATGCTCCAGTCGTCTCCGGGAGCGCGCAGCATCATGTTGTATCGCTTCTTCTTGCCGGACAGCTGCTGCACCACCTGGCAGACACCACAGGTGCAGGGGTGGACATAGTGAGGGGAGGGGGCGGAGGGGCGAGTTTCAGCGCAAGGGGGGCAGGGATAGTGTGTGGTGGGACATCTGTGGTGTGTGTGAGCGGTCATGGAGAGTAAGATGATGGGTAACGTGGAGAGGCGACACAACACCGCCATGCAACAGCTAATAACCAGCCAAGACATGCGCACAAAAGGACAACAAAGAATCCAACTATGCAGCCTAGCTGGCAGGGAAGCAAGGGAATTAACAAACAAACAAAAAAGCACACACACACACAAACACACAAACACACACATGCAGACTGAGCATGGTACCTTAATGCGAACCCATGCGTTCAGCACCTCGCCCTGCTTGATGAAGTGCGCGTCGGGCGAATCTGTGGCGTTCTTCACCAGAAACTTCACTTCAACTTGCATGCGCAGCAGCCCAACGTCATTGAGCCGTTCGGGATGGGCTGGAATCGGGCACGGAAACTTCAGACCGTCGTCTCCGCACAGGCCCCTCAGCGTGCTTGCGTCATGTACAATGTATTGAATGTAGGCGCCCTCCAAGTCTGTCTCCACGGCAACGCCGGGTACGATGTTGCGCACCATGCGTGTTGCGTCCTGCCACTCCTTCACGTACATACTCTGGTACACCTCGCACTCATCAAAGTGGTAGGAGCGCGTGGGAAAGTGTCCACGAAAGGATTGGTAAAGACGCACGGTGATGATGACGCGTTCAAGGCTGTGCACGTCCACCTGACTGCTGTACAACACGGCGTCCTCCTCCGGCTGCGCCACGTGCTGTGTCCACTCGCTGCGCAGGCGTTGCAGCGGGTATATCACGCTGTCGTGGTGCGGCGTGGCAGGTATGCATGGGCAGGCAGTGGCGTGAGGTGACTGTGATTGCAGCTGCGTTGGTGGCAGTGGTTGGTTGTGGCGCGCTGTGGTGCGTTGTGGTGGTTGCACATGTATTGCCAGCAAGGGGAATGCGGCGGCAGATTGTTCATGCATAAGAGTCATGGCACTTGCAGTTAAAAATGTACACGCACACACACGCACACACACACACGCACACACACACACACAAGTGCACCCACAAGTGGACGGCTTACGTGTTCAGGGGGCGGAATGCCAAGTGGAAGTAGCCATATCCGGCCTGCTGTCCACGCTTCTTGCAATATCGGGCCTTGTATTCGACATACCCTTGCCGCTGCACGCTCGCCAGCTGCTGGTTTACAGGCTTGTCGTCGTTCTTCACAGCGAATCGGCACTGCGTCTCGTCGTTTGACTCCAAGAACAGGCACAGCCTGAAGTGGGTGTGGCAGCGGTGCGTTGTGGCGGTGGCAGTGATGAACGTGAGTGCAGTCGGTACTGCAAAAACACCGGGCGAAACTTGACAGACACAAGCACACATACACACACACGCACACATACAAACACACACGCACACACGCCGCACACAGACATATATACACACACATACACAAAGCACACGCATGTGCGTACAGTTTGCGTGTGCCGTCGTGTGGCGGTGAGCGGTCGGCAGTGGCGCGGGCCGGCAGATGATCCTGAACCCCACGCACATCATGCAGTAGTGATGGCAGCGCTGCGCGAGGGTACACGGCAAGGGGCAGGGGTGTGGACCTGGCAGACGACTGTTGCTGTTGTTGTTGCTGTTGTTGTTGTTGTCGTTGTCGTTGTTGTTGTTGTTGTTGTTGTTGTTGTTGTTGTTGTTGTTGTTGTTGTTGTTGTTGTTGTTGTTGTTGTTGTTGTTGTTGTTGTTGTTGTTGTTGTCGTTGTTGTCGTTGTTGTTGTCGTTGTCGTTGTTGTCGTTGTTGTTGCTGCTGCTGCTGAGGGTTCTCGTGCTGACTAGTGAGCAGATCAGCAGACACCGCGCGGGGGACGAGAACGCGACTTTCGCCGTGTTCGCCACTGCCAGCGCCCCTGCCGCTGTTGTTACCGCTGTTGCTACCTGCGTCGTTGTGTATCGATGGCACGTGCAAGTCAACGCCGGGCGGAAACGGTGGCAGTGCCATGCCGCGTTCACCAGTGTTGCTGTGTGTTCTGCTCACGCTGCTGCTGCTGCTGCTCCCACCGCCGCTACGATGCGCGCTGCTGGCTGTGCCACTGCCATCCCTGGTGGTGGTGCCGCTGCTTGTGATGGTGGGATTTGTGTCGTTGATGCTCGTGTTGCTGTTGCTGCTCTGGGTGCTTGCCTTCTTTGTTGCAGGTGTGCCCTGCTAATTCAAAACGATGCATGTGTAATGTATGTGTATTATCGTGCACATGTCAGTATGCATGTGTATTGTCGTGTGCATGTGTGTTTGCGTGTGTGTAGTCACGTGTACGTTTGTGTGAGGGTGCGCACGAATGCATGCACATGTAAGCATGTGCAGAAGCGTACATATCGGAACAAGTGCGCGATTGAGCAAGCGCTTGCACTTCAAGCTTGCGTGTGTGCGCCCTTGTGAAGCTATTCACAACTATCGACGTATGTGCGCTCACCTCGCAGCGGGTCGACTCATCTGCACTGCGCTTGTATACAGCAACGGTGTGCTCTGTGAATTGGTGGCACGTGGCAGCGTGGTGCGTACAAACAAGTGGTTGCGAGCGTGATACCAAAATGAGCACGAGCAATGGTGTCTGATCGTGCACACATCCACTCACATCCACTCACACACGCGTATGAGCTCGTCTCAACGCCAAACAAAACAGTGCGATGAAAAGGAACATGAAAACACACGCGCGCGCGCGCGTACACAGAGCACAGCACAGCACACGCACAAACAAACACACACATATACACGACAGCGTTTGGTGACGGTACATGTGCACAAAATTGGTGCCAGCGTACGTTCTGCGGAGCTCGGGAGGGGTATTGTTTGTTGTGCAGCTGCAAATGTGGTGAGGAGGGGTGTGCATGCACGTGGGGACTTGGCACTCAGGCAAACAAGAGTGGCTTGCTGTGCATACGTACTGACGCACACACACACACACACACACACACACACACATATATATATATATATACGCATGCACAAGACATGCACGCACCTGGGGCTCTCATGGACACTAATTCCTGGAGGAGTTGGCTGAGGATGGCAAACAAACACAGTGATAAGCATGCATGTTGACATGGGAGCAGGCACAACCCACAAACAGAGCAAACACACACACACACACAGCAGAGCACACACGCGCGTGCGTCAAAGGAATACAAACCCAGTGTCTGGAAGATGGGCGAATGCTTGGGAGTGATAGTCCTCCTGCACCAAACCGGAGCATATGCCATGGTAAATAACGAAACAAACAGCACAATGGCACAAAACAACGAGTACACAAATGCACAAATGAACACATGGCCGAAGACGCCCACACACGCGCACATACACACGAACTCCCACAATTACACAAAAAGAAAAAAAACATTCATTCACACACACACACATACGCACAAAGCCACAAGCATACACACACACACACACACAAAAGCATGTGTTTGTACACAAACAAGTGCAGACACGAACACAAACACATAAGTTGCCCTCCTCCTACAGCATGTGGCGTACGCTGTGGTAGCCCGGGATGGGGGAGTGGCGCATGGACGGCGAGTGTGATTCGTGCACATCACCGAGTTCGTTGAAGATGGCCAGTGCTGTGGGCGGTGCAAACAAGTCAAACACACACACACACACATATGTGCGATGCGTGTGAGAGGCCTGTGTCCATGCTGGCCAATACAAAGCAACTACCATGTGCACGCTGGGCAACGCGCAATTCAAAGGATCAAGGCACGGCCCAGCCACAACGTTCCCCTACCATGCTCGGATCCAAAGTAAGCAAAGGCATCAGCTGAGAAGTGGTGATCCGTGGGGTCGTGATGCTGAGACAAGAGGTGCTCAATCAAGTCCTAACGTGGCAGCAGCAGCAGCGGCAGCAGCGGCAGTAGCGGCAGCAGCAGCAGCAGCGCAAGTGACGTGCAATGTGAGTGTCAAGTTTGATGTGATGTGAGATGTGGGCAAAGCCATACGCATGCTCAGCTGACGCTGCTCTCAATCTTTGTCACGGAAATACGGAACACATTTCACGACATTACTCACACACACACACACACACCACGAGAGGACTCAGCAAAGTTTTTCTCGGCTGGCTGTGGTGTTGACAAACAAACGGAGTGGCAATGTAAGGTCTCACGCTGTGCGCTTCTTGGCGATGGTGTTGGTGTTGGTCGCTGTGGCTGTCGCCGGCATCCTCGTTGCCGTTCATAGCTCTCCCTTGGCAACTTAGTTCTCCTTTGTCCTCTTAGTTCGCCGGCTGCTGAACGCACTTGTCGTCCACTGTGCCACGGTGATGTGGTGCCGTTGCACGATTCCACGCACAAAACACACAAACACACACACACACACACACACACTCGAAAGCACCTGTGCACTGCCTGCAAGGACGATGACAGCTGTCAAAAGGCAAAACGCCGTCAGGGGTGGATGTGTCGTGTTGAGACGTCACAACATCAGCCAACCAACCAAGCACCAGAACTGCTGTTGAGGAAGGACCAGTACACACAGCAAAAGCACGTGGATCAGGCCGTCCCAAGCAAGCGTGTACCATCCATCCACAACGAACGCAGCAGCTAGGCAAGCAAGCAACAAGCAAGCAAGGACTTGGCAGCAAAACACCCCACACATCGGTAGTCGGCCATCATCATCACACCTTGTGCGCTTTTGACGTGGAAAGGGTTTTTGTGGCCTTTTTTTTTCGTTGTTGAGATTCAATGCTGCTTTAACCGATGATGTCATGTGTCACTCTTTTTTTTTTTTTTCACCAAGCGTTTTGCGCTTTTGCGTGTGCACAAGATGCACGCGGATGTTGCCTAATTTTCCATTGATTGCTTGTTGCTTGAAGGTGGCTTGCTCCTCAGCCTTACAAGAAGAGCACACACACACATACACACACACACACACACCAACTGCACCAGCAACTGAGCAACTGCACAGCAACAGCTACAAAGAAAAACACACAACAGGGACGAGACAGCAGCAGGAGCAGCAAGGCAGCTCGAGCCACATCCCGACACAACGAGGATGGTGAGGCGTCTGCCCACCATCAGCGCCGTTGCGGGAGTGGTCGGCTTTGTCCTTCTCCTCAGCCTCCTGACCCAAGAACGCACGGGCGCCCTTGGCGCAACCACACCATCATGCAGATCACATTTCCAATGCCGCCCAGGGCAATTCTGTTCACGTGGTAAGTTGTTGCGTTTTGACGCAGCCGTTTGAGAAGGGGTCTTCTCACAATGGTTGAGCTTGAACCGTGACAACTTATGGTGTATTCACATGTTGCGCCCACAAAGAGACAAAGAAAGCGGTGCGAGAAGGGTCGAGATGCTGGCCAAAGCCTTGTTCGTTTTTGGAAGCATTGATGATAACTTTAGTGTTGGGTGCTTGTGTGCTGAAGTAGCTCACTTCTTTGGTGTTATTGTTTAACCAATTCCCATTTCTGAAAACGCGGCACCCGTGCGGGGCAGTTGAGGCATGTGAAGCTGAGTCCGTTTGTCTTCAATTTGGATACTCCTACGGCCTCGGCAATTACTGCCCATGCCTGCCTGGATCCATCACCGGACAGACCGCCCTTAGTGGTACGTGTGTGTGTGTGCTGCGTTCCGATGTGCCCTTTGCACATGCTTGTCATTGTGAGATGTAGCCATGGTGTTGCATTGTCAAACCAGTGGAGAAGAGCGCCCATGAGCTTGTTCGACGCCTTAGTGCCACCCATCTTGCGCCATCCCCTTCCATTCATGATGCCCTCCGTCTCTCATAATCAATGTCTGCATGAAGGCATCAAACCATCCGGCACTCCAATAACGGTTGAGTTTCGGACAACAAATGTCGGGCCAGCTGTCCACTTGCAGTTGCAGGGCGAGGTGCGTGCAAACCAACTACTCATGCACAAGCCTCTTCCTACGTTTGCATGTGTGCACGACCAATTCTCATCTGTGACCCTTCGACAACAAGCGGAATGCACACTCACACCCCCACATCCACAAGCACAAGTACAAGCACACACACACACACACAAGCACACATGCACACGGCCATGCTCACGTCTCAGCACCACAATCTCGTCCTGTTCATCGCCCCTCCCCCTCCTTCAACTCACACCAATTGCTGAACTGCCTGTGCATTGTGACAACACGGCCATGCAGACCTCTACTCAAACCATGCAGGAGTTTGTGCGGGTGGAGGATTCAGCCGTGACGTCAGTCACATGGACGGTGCCCCTCTCAACGCCCTCAGGGCAATATCGCATCACCGTCACAAGCATTGCCACGACATCCATCGTCGGATACATTCCCGCAACGGTAGGTGTGCTTGTATTCGTGCGTGTGGAGTGTCTTCGCCTTGTGTGAGTGTGTGTGTGTGTGAGTGAGTGTGTGTGTGTGTGTGAGTGAGTGAGTGAGTGTGTGTGTGTGTGTTTGTCGTCGGTTTGCAAAGCTGTGACATCAGCGCCTGCTGTATTCGCTGCGCGTGTTTCGACGTTGTATGCTGGTTTGGTATGCTTGCATCCTTGCGCCCCTTGTTGCTAAAGTGCGTGATGTACCAAATTTGCGTGCCAAGTGAACTCTGTTGCCTTTTCACCACCACGACCGCCATCTCCGACACCGTGACCACCACCACCACCACCGAACCATATCCCGCATTGTGTCCCTCAGGGAACCTTCACCATCAAGCGGCGATTCAGGTGCATCAGCCATGACTCCTGTGGACCATCGGAGTACTGTGACATCTAGTAAGTTTGGCATGAGTTTACTGACCGCAACACGTTCGATGTGTTCAAAGCCACGTGATTCCTGCTCTTACGCCCTCGTGCATGGTCCTATGCCCCTGGCCATCGTGCCTTCCCAACCACATCACATACATCCTCCACAAACCATGTGTCCTTCTTTGTTGTACATTCGACCCGACCGTCATCCGTGACGCTTTGCTTCGAGTTTGCCTGCCACCCACACGTTTTGTTGACCACATGTCACATACGTCGGCGTCAAGCCCTTTACACCCGCACGAGTATCCTGACACAATTATCATCACCCCCTCCACACACGCACACATACACAAACACGCACGAACACACACGAACATACACACACATATATACACACACATACAAACAATCACACACAAACACCCACGCGATCACTTGAAGCGGGGTCTGCGTCCCGTGCAATGATTGCCTTCGATTTGTCGATGCCATTGATGGCGAGTGCCCCTTCAAGTGCTTTGAGACCCCACCCGCGTCGTTCCGTAAGTCTTTCAGAAATGCAGCACCAATGAGAGTGCACTGCAAGGGCAGCTTTCTCCTCTCTTCCGCTCGCCCTGCACCGTCTTACCCGCTCACCTCCTGCTCCCATTCGTGCAACTAATCCCCCGCGACACACTCGCTTTCGCCTCGTGTGGCAGCTGAAATCACGTTCCGTTCTCCCACAACAAGCACGGTCGTCTCCGCGGGCAGCGCCATCACCATCACATGGTTCTTCAATCAGGTCTGCAGCAACATAGTAGTAGTAAGGCGCACCGTGACACTTGTCTCGCGTGGCTTGGGGTGTCTGTTATTTGCAAACATCATCAGCCACACACAATATCGTTACCTTCGGACACCCGGCCCTTTTCAAACTCCCATACCTCCCACGCAATGCGCACAGAAAGAGATCCAATGCATCGAGCCATGTTACGCACAAACCCACAGAAAGCGTTGCATGACTGATCACGCGTTCAGCGCTTCACGACCACCCTTGACCTCAAATTGCTCCGACCCACTCTCTGTGCACTCACCCACGACCGTTCAATTTGTATGTGTGTTTGATATGGCAGCTTGTTCTGGACTTTATAGATTTGTACATCGTGCCTATGGGGAGCAGTGCACTGGACACCGCCGTCATCATTCGAACAAGCGTGGCTGCTGGCCAATACACGTGGACGGTATGGGTGCTCGCTGCGTCCAGCGGGTCAGGGTGGGGGCAGAGAAGCGTGAGGACTGTGGGTGGTGTGGGCATGGCGGCAGGACAAGGAGTGATTGAGCAGCGTGTTCGCCCCAGTGAGCATCTCCGGTCCCACATGTTGCGCAAGCCTGGGCCCGTTGATGCGTTGTACCGCCCAAACCACAGCACAAATGGTGATCGCATGCTCACGTACATTCGCCACGAACACGTACACAATGAATGCGTACCAGGTTCCAAGCGACATGCTGAGCGGGGATTACTGGATTGCGGCCGTGTTCACAGACGATGCGGAGAGAACCATCATCGGACACGCGCCAAACAGCATCGAGGTGCGACTTGTTGTCACACAGTCGAACATGACCGATGCTCGCTCAGCTGTAGATTGTGTGGTGGTTTCGACTTCAGGTGCACTTGCCGCATCACATAAGAAGGATGTGCTGCGCATGCTCACGTTGGTGATGCTCGTGCGCGTGCAATGACCAGGCTGGAAGCGTTGGATTTAGCATCCAAGGATGTCCGACATGCTCAGACAATGAATATCTGACAGGTCCATGTGGTGGGAAGGTGGTTCCAAAATGCATGCCGTGCACTGAGTGCAGTGCTGGGACGTATGAGACGCGTGCGTGCACGCTGACAAGCAACCGTGCGTGCGACGCGTGCGTGCGAGCGGAGGACTGCGGGAGCGGGGAGTACCTTGCTGGCAAGTGCACGGCGACGACCAGCCCCAAGTGCCAGGTGTGCACGACGGCCAAGGACTGCGGGCTCGGGGAGGTGCTGCTCGGCACGTGTGGCGGGGCATCCAACCCGGTGTGCGTTGCCTGCGAGTCGCCTTGCCGCACCTGTGCTGGCACCACCAGGACGTGCAAGTCCTGCGTCGCCAACACGTACCTCAGGTATGCATGCGCAGATGGCTGCTGTGCGTGCACGTTCGTTGGCTTGTGCGCGTACCGCTGCTGCGCCTCCCCTGGCGCCTGTTCTGCGTTGTGTTGTGTTGTGTTGTGTTGTGTTGTGTTGTGTTGTGTTGTGTTGTGTTGTGTTGTGTGTGTGGTGTGTGCATTTTGTGTTTGTGTTTGTGTGTTGGCGTGCGCACCTGTGTACCGTACGGCATGTTGCTGACTGGCTGTGTGACGTACTCTCAAGCACCTGACCGACTCACTCACTCACTCACTCACTCATTCACTTGCTTGCGTGCTTGGCTGCTTGGTTGCTTGTGTATTCTGGTTTGTTCTTTGGTGCGTTCTTTCACGCTCCCTCACGCCTCGCGTCCTCACGCGTCCTCGTGCTATGTTGCTCACACGCCTGCTGTGCTTCCCGTATATCTGCCTGCGTGTGTGTGTATGTGTGTGTGTGTGTGTGCGTGTGTGTGTGCGTGCGTGTGTGTGCACACACTGTGCACTGTGCAGCGGGAGCACGTGTGTGGATGTGTGCCCTGAGGGGATGTACGGGGACGTGACATCTGGCACGTGCACAACGTGTGCTGAGGAGTGTGAGGCGTGCGCGGGCGGGACGAGTCAGGAGTGCACGGCATGCGCGCCCGGGTACTTTTTGTCTGGGACAGCGTGTGTTTCTGTGTGCCCTGATGGGTACTATGGGGATGCGACGAGCCGGGTGTGCGTGAGGTGCGCGGTGTGCCGGGAAGGCACCTTTGCTGTTGGCGGCTGCTCTGGCGTTGAGGACACGCTGTGCCAGGTGCGGCTGCATGCTGTGTGTCTTTGTATTGGGTCGTTGTATTGGGGTGCGTGCGTGCGTGCGTGCGTGCGTGCGTGTTCTGTTTTGCGTTGGTGTGATGGCGTGCAGGTGCTTGGATGTGGTTTGTTTGTGTTGCTTGGGGGGTGATTGATTTCTCGTTGTGCATTCTGATTGTGGATTGTGTGGTGTGGTGCCTGTGCAGGGATGGCGCGTGTGTGCGTCTGACGAGTACGAGGTGCGAGCGCCGTCTGCAACGAGCGACCGGGAGTGCACGGCGTGCCGCACCAGCTGTCCTGCTGGCAAGGAGCTTGCGGGGATCTGTGGTGGCAGTGATGGCACACGGTGCGTACACGTGCTGACAGGCGCATGCATGGTGTGCGGCTGTGTGTGTGCATGTGTGCATGTGTGCATGTGTGCATGTGCGTGCGTGCATGTGGTTGTGAAGGCTTTACACGCGCGCATGTGCGTGTGAAGGCTTTACACGCGCGCATGTGTGTGTGTTTGTGTGTGTGTGTGTGTACATGTGTTGCTTGGTTGGCAATACTGTCAAGTGGGCGGGCGGGGGAGCACTACTGAGAGAGGCTGTGGGGAGATTGGCGTTGTGCATGGGTGACCCTCGTTGGCCACGCTCTCGCGTGCTTGTTGCTATCGATGCCTGTTGCTCATGACCGCTGTTGCTCGTGATTGTTGCACGTGTTTACGTGTTGACGTTTGCGTGTATGTGTATGTATGTGCGTATGTATGTGTGTATGTATGCGTGTTGTTGATGAGGACAGGGACCGTGTGTGCGAGGATTGCGGGAGCGGGACGTTCAAGGCGAGCGAGGGCGGTGAAGCGTGCAGCGCGTGCCGGACTGTGTGTGCGGACGAGCACTACCTGAGCGGGGCGTGCACGACGACGCAGGAGCCCGTGTGCGAGCGGTGCATTGAGCAGGCAGACTGCCGTGCCGGGCAGTACGCGGGCGGGACGTGCGGTGGCAGCGACGGGCGCAGCAACAGGGAGTGCCTGGCGTGCCACGGGACATGTGCAGAGTGCGTGGGCCCCACGGCAACAGACTGCACGGCTTGCAGCGGCGACCTGCACCTTGACGACGGTGGCGCGTGTGTGTCTGAGTGCGACGCCGGGTTCTTTGAGGTTGGCAACGAGTGCGTGCCATGCGACGGGAGCTGCCTGGACTGCAACGGGGACGGCCCGGGCGCGTGCACGGCGTGTGCCAAGGGCACGTTCCTGCACCGTGGGGAGTGTGTTGCTGTGTGCCCTGATGAGACGTACGGGGACGTTGTGCAGCGGCAGTGCCAGGTGTGCAAGGTGTGCAGCGGAGACGAGTATGTGCTGTCTGCGTGCGGCGGGACGAGCAACACGCAGTGCAGCGCGCTGAGTGTGTGCGGTGCTGGGCAGTATGAGGCTGTTGCTGCGACGCTGACGAGCGACCGGGAGTGTGCTGATTGCCGGACGTCGTGTCCCGCTGGCGAGGAGCTGAGCGTGGCGTGCACGGCGACGGCTGATGCGCAGTGCACGCCATGCGTTGGCGGTACGTACAAGGCGAGTGCGGGGAGCGGCCTGTGCGCCGCGTGCACACGCGAGTGCGGTGACGGGGAGTACCTGTCTGGGGTGTGCAGTGCAACGACGACGCCCGTGTGCGCTGCGTGCACGAGCACGTGTGCGGCTGGGCAGTATCTGGACGGGGTGTGCGGCGGGCGCAGCAACCCGCAGTGCACCGCGTGCACTGAGTGCAGTGCTGGGACGTATGAGACGCGTGCGTGCACGCTGACAAGCAACCGTGCGTGCGACGCGTGCGTGCGAGCGGAGGACTGCGGGAGCGGGGAGTACCTTGCTGGCAAGTGCACGGCGACGACCAGCCCCAAGTGCCAGGTGTGCACGACGGCCAAGGACTGCGGGCTCGGGGAGGTGCTGCTCGGCACGTGTGGCGGGGCATCCAACCCGGTGTGCGTTGCCTGCGAGTCGCCTTGCCGCACCTGTGCTGGCACCACCAGGACGTGCAAGTCCTGCGTCGCCAACACGTACCTCAGGTATGCATGCGCAGATGGCTGCTGTGCGTGCACGTTCGTTGGCTTGTGCGCGTACCGCTGCTGCGCCTCCCCCTGGCGCCTGTTCTGCGTTGTGTTGTGTTGTGTTGTGTTGTGTTGTGTTGTGTTGTGTTGTGTGTGTGGTGTGTGCATTTTGTGTTTGTGTTTGTGTGTTGGCGTGCGCACCTGTGTACCGTACTGCTGGCTTTGTGTGGCATGTTGCTGACTGGCTGTGTGACGTACTCTCAAGCATCTGCACTCACCTGACCGACTCACTCACTCACTCATTCACTTGCTTGCGTGCTTGGCTGCTTGGTTGCTTGTGTATTCTGGTTTGTTCTTTGGTGCGTTCTTTCACGCTCCCTCACGCCTCGCGTCCTCACGCGTCCTCGTGCTATGTTGCTCACACGCCTG